GGCAACGTCAAGAAGACCCTTCCTGTCGGGAGACTTCATTTACACGCTTGACTACAACACACACGCACACACACACACACACACACACACACACCTCGGAATGTGCGAGGAGGGCAAAGACGATGAGCAAGACGAGGATGAGGAACGGGCCGAGTTGAAAGGTTCATCAATTGGGACGTGTTGTTGACGTGTCACCCCAGCTGGGTCACGCGCACAGCACACACAAAGGTCGGAACACAAGCAGCCGCCGAGGGAAGCGGACGGACGCACCTTTTTCAAATCGGACTGGGTGCGCGCGCGCGCGGGCGCCATCTGCCTGCTGCGTGTGAGCCAACACTCGAGGGGGAGTGTGTCATCTCTGATGATTTTTTTCTTTTGGGGGGGGAGGTGTTCCGGAGAGTTGCTGTCATCAGGCTAGATGCGCACATGACCCCCCCCCCCCACCCCCCAAAAAAAAAGAAACAACAAAAACAGCGCCGACTCAGGTCAGAAGCATTTCATTGGGCTTGCCTTCCCTTCCGGAATTCAATGACGTTTTCTTTTCGAAAGCTTTGAAGCGATGACACTTCGCAAGTATTGAAGCGCAACTCGTTGGGATGATGTACGAAATCCAGACGTGAAAGTGTCAAAAACCACGGGACTGATTTTGACTGACTCCACAAGTAGGAACGTTCAGAAGACATCGTCTCGTTTCACATCATTTCCCTCATCGAGCGGGAGAAAAAAAAAATCCACCGATGGAGAAAATAAAAGCATGAGCGCAGACACTCCAAGTTGAATCGGGTCCAGCGAGCTGGAGGCCAAGTGGCGCCGTCTCAAAGTCAAGGCGCGCGCGCGCGCCGGCGTGTCAGGTGTTTGATTGACGGGTGAGTGCGCGCGCGCCCCGGCGGACCCTCGTGTGCGTGTCGCGACGCATTAGCGGGCGCCGCTCATCCGGCCGGGGGGGGCCCGCGGGATGCCGCCCACGAGGCCCCCCGGGGACGGCGGGAATTTCGTCGCGGACCATCAGGCCGAGCGGCGCTGAGCGGCGGCCAAGCGGCTGGTCCGGCTCCAAGCGGCTCGTCTCCGTCCCGCTCGTCACGTCCTCTGACGGCTGCGGCGTGCCAAAGCCAAAAGGGGGGGAGGGGGGCGGGGAAAAAAAAGACTCGCCCCGGGGTTGGGCTCGCTCGCCGGAAAGAAACGGTCCACGGGCCGGCCTTTCTTTTTTCGGGGACTCTCAAAAGCAGAAAAGATGTCGGCGACTGCGGGTTTGGGTCCACCCAGTGAGTTGCCCCCCACAAACGCTTTTGCCTTCGCGTTGACCGTCACGGTCCCGCCGCGTTTGGAGGTGGCGCCCGTTGCTGGTGGTGCGGTTGGCTCTTTCCGGTTCCAAGGACCGCCGCGCCGATCGGATCCGTGTCGTGGCTTTTTCTTTTGTTGTGACTTTGCTTTGGTCAGGACGTGGTTGGTTTTTGGCTTCCGTACTCCCCGCTTCTCCGGCCTCGTCGCTTTTTGGGGGTCTCCCACCATCGCCAGGCTCGGGTTCAGTTTTCCCGGAAGCTCTCGGCTCGTTTGAATCGGCCTTTTCGTGGCCTTCCGCCACCGCCAAACACGTTAGCACGAGACGCAGCCGACGGATGAGAGAGGGGCTCGAGCAAAAACCTTTTTCACCGCAAGGGCGGCGCCGCGGAGCGAGCGGAAACGCCAGCAAAAACGGTTGGACAGTAGGAGCGGTCCGGCGGGCCGGCCGGGACCTTCTGCGACCAAAGGCTTGGGAGCGGGTGCGAGAGGAGCGTCCGGCGGGCGGCTAGCAAAAGGAGGATCGGAGCGGACGGGCCCCGAGAAGCGGCTCTGAAAGGGTGAGCCACTTGACACGTGGGGGCGGGGGGTGGTGACCGATTTTCGGGGGTTCCCCCTTTGATTGTCTTTGCACCCGCGCGGGCCATATGGCCCCCGCTTCACAGAGGGCCAAGAAGCACGACGAAGCAGAACGGCGCGCCAGCGCGGCTCAGCGGCCTGAGAAACGGTCGGCCTGCCTCCGCGCGAGCGTTTGACCCGCGAGGAACGCTTGAGCCGCCGGCCTCCCCCGCTCGCTTACCCAGAGAAACAATACGACTCCCCCCCCCCCCGCTTTAACCGCTCATTTGCATAATTAATGTGATCGGCCCACAGCGGACAAAATTCCTGCCGCTGGGAATCACGTCCGCACGCGTGCTCACGTTAGGCCGCCCGCCTACGCACGGAAGGAAGGATTCCTCCCGTCCGGAAAAGCTTTTCTTGTCTTTGGGGGAGCCCAAAGCACCACAAGAAGAAACGCCGCGTCTTTGTGGTGACAGCTCCGACCAAGGCTCAAGTGACAGCCAAGACGGTCCGTTAGGCCGCCCGCCTACGCACGGAAGGAAGGATTGCTCCCGTCCGGAAAAGCTTTTCTTGTCTTTGGCGGAGCCCAAAGCACCACAAGAAGAAACGCGCGTCTTTGTGACGACAGCTCCGACCGACCAAGGCTCAAGTGACAGCCAAG